CTATGTTCACTCTAACTCTCGTGGTAGGATTTAAAATATTTCCCCGCTGCAAATGTCAACTCAATATGGATATCTATACACTCTGAGAATATATTTATAGTAGCCTGGATTCCAAGCACTGAACCGGCTCTGTGCATCCGTTAAACAAATTATTTGTTCTCGCAATGCTTCAATTTATATAATTTTGAATTTAAAAAAAAAAAAATAGCTACATTTCTGAAATAACGATCACAAAAAAGCGCACCTCGATTTTTTGTAGGCTGGACGCTACCCTTATATTCTCGGGGTGGACATCCGGACATTTTCACCGCATGGCAACCATCACGGGCCGAAAACTCTCAGAAAACGGTACTTCGGGATGGTTGTTAAGACTCCCCCGAACAGCGTAACAAGATTACCCTGCGTGTGTAACGCAGTTGAGTTCCTGTTGTTTTCTCGGATTTTCACCGGCTCTTCCCACGGCGTTCCGCGTTCCTCAGCAGCGCGCACAGAGCCCGTAGAAATACGTGGTACAGTGGTGCGCGTCTAAGCAACGCGGAACGTCTTGTGACGTAGCTCCCCGAGGATACCTACTACTAGCCTAGTCGCTGTCCCGACCGGCAGTTCAGTGCTGAGAACTAAATAAATGACCGTGGCGGACGTGAAACTCAATCTACATGAATTATCAAACAAACAAAATTATTGCTATTTTACTAGAAACAACATTATATGGCGTGTTTGAAATTTCTTGCAGTGCAGATAAATGTCCGCCAGCGCTAAGACACCCCGGTAAGACACGCACATGATTCACTGTCGACTCTAGTTGGCGCTCTTCGCAAAATGTATTGCCAAGTTTCCAATAAAAATAGTTCTTGTCATAGCTTTCAACCTGTCATAGATAATTTACTTTATCTATACGTGTTCGTAATGTAGCGACTCACGTTCGTGACCATTTTTTTTTTCTTTTTTTTAGTTCAGGATATACAATTATTTGAAGGGCCAACATATGGTAGGAGTCGGGTTAGGGTTAGTATTCAGAAGTGGAGTACATTCAAGTTGTAAACTCTTTCTCTTAAATTAAATAAAGAAGAAGTTTACGTTCTAGAATATATGAATAGAAAATAATAGAATACATGTATTTGACTAGAAAACAGAGAACACATTCTGAGTGACGTGTCATAGACAATAGAACACAAGACCGTATTTTTTTTCGCGTAATTAAAACGCAAGGAATATAACCTCACCGCGAACAGGTTTGCCACCACCATCAGGTCTGTAGAATAGAAGTCATGTTATGTGGTGCCTGGTTTGTTCAATAGTCGACGAAATATCAATGCCGATATTCATCATTGAATATATTACGACAACTATGGAGAGTGATTGATCTACTAGACGACTATATCACTGTCCGAATCGTAAGGTCAGCACAAGCGTGGGGATTTTTCAATCAGGAAATCGCTGCATACGAGATATTCTGGAGTTCCCAACTCTGATATAAATTGCAATGAATCTAACAATTTTAATGCACGAATAGGGAATCAAACTTACCTCAAAATACATCGTGTTATGGAGCACCATGTCTCAGAGTAATGTTTACTCCGACGAACACGTGACCATTCTGTTCGCGTTACGCAACACTCATGAGACCACTCGATTGATAGGAACGTGACAGGAAAGCTTTACAGTGGTGATGATGACGACACAACTAGCCAACCAATAAAGATATATATAAATAAATACTTTCGTTACACCACCTGTGAATGAAAACATTCTCCAAACCCAACTTGAAACCTGTTGTTTTCACATCAGAACAGGTGATTAGGTTCGACCACAGTCCTCATGGTGTTTCTAAGACTAATTACTTTTACCTGTCAGGTCAGGTCAGGTCAGGTCAGGTCAGGTCATTTACGAATGAAAGCCTGTATCCCCTTTCTGTATGTTTGCTTATTATCGTCTTTTATAAACATTATATCTGAGTGGTTGATCAATATAAAAGGGACGATGATCCAGAAAAAAACACAGCAACATAGCTATGAATACAATATGACATAAACGCACCTTTATTCAAGTTTGCTATATGACACTATGGGACTGATAATAGTGAAAATAAATCAATAAAATTTGTCAATAATTCATAACACAAGTCAAGCAATATTGCACAATGGAAATGGCGATATCTCAAAATAAAATCTATTATCTTTTATGTGTACAAACTTTTGAAAATCAGAATTTCAATAAATTCTTTTGCGGATGGTAGTTTAGTATCAAACACTTGTAGTTTTTTAAGCACGATGGGACGATCAGAAACGCTAAAAAATTAAAATTTCTGCTTACGACTGATTTTTAGTCCTTGTCACGTTTTCGACACGGATTTTCAGTCGGCTCAAGTGTTAAATCAGGATAAACAGCCAATGACAATAGAGTAGCCAAATGGATTAAGTACTGGCATTCTGCATAGGTATGAATCTAGCCGCGGCCACAGCTAAAAGGGACTGTGGTCTAGCAATATCATATAGTGTTACAGACAGGAAGTCCACGGCATGGGTCAGAGTATATCCAGACCACTCGTTTCGATGAATGGCATGGGCGATAGTCACAGCGTGACTTGTGGGTAAGAAAAGAAAATGAATACCGATGAAATTGTGATTACTGTATTTAGAGTTTTCTCTACGGATTCTTACTATTATACAATTATCACAGTAAGTTGTGTACGTACCGGCGTTCAATGATCTATATAGAAAACCTTACCAGTTGTGTTAAAAAATGTTTGGAAGTTTTCCATTGCTCATCATAACTCTTACAGTCCGTTGCACGTAACCCCGTAGTAAAACTCTTGACCATATGGACCAAAATTAACAGGGAGTAAAACACAGTTTTCGAAAAGCTGTTCATGCATTGACCAATCAGGAGAGCTCATAAGCACTAACGAAATATTTGCCGTTGTACTTAACAAAGGAGCTTAGCGCTAAGCACAAAGGAACGTTTATAGGCTTAAAGTAAGATTTAGATCGTGTTATAATCCAAATCCCCTTTGTAAGCAGAAATTTTCATATGTATAATCACCGTCCCTGAGGGACGGTGGTATAATATTGAAAGCATATGTGTTCAGATTAAATCAGCATTTCTACTGGCAAAGAGATGTTCTATTTGTTTTATATCCAAAAAGCCACTTAGGCAAGTCAACCATTTCATTTCACACGCCCACGCTGATATTTAAAAAAAACAGCTTATATCTTTTTCCTTGTTGTGATAATTTATTCAAAATTTCCAAACTGATTGGTTTCTAGAAGTCATATGAAACTATTGGGTAACGCTGTTAAGATAGATGAAATGACGTTGCAAACGAACACCAAAATAAAGTGGACAATTTTAAAAATAGTAAAATAAGGGAATAAATAAATGCGCATATTAATTATTGTCACAGGGTCATTTCCCGGTAACTTAACTTTAATTGTTGGTGTGTATATTTTTACAGTTTGTTAATTAAGTTTAAGTTAAGTTTATTATTTTGGTCAGAGATGGCGCTGTAATGACACTTTGATGGATGTGACTAACCCATCCGAAAATGAAATCTTCCTGAATAAATTAACTTGTCACATGGCGTGAAACAAAAGCCGAAGGGATCCCCTGCTGCCTGTCATACTAATTAACATCTTGAGAAGTGTGTTGCCAGTTCCTGATACTTAGGGGTTGGAAACCCCATGGCCAACTACATGTGCTTCTACCAGCTATAGTATTCTACATGGTGAAGTCGCCGAGTCTCCATAGCCGCGCTGCAACTTATTTGTCAAACGTGATCGACACAAAATTCCTAGGAGATTATCAAACCACCATCGAGACATTAAATCGTGCGATACAACGAACACTGTGTATGGAACTCAGTCAACTACAAAAGCTAAGAAGTCTTAGACGTTACATTGTTATTTCTACGTTACTCCGTTCGTCGTTATGGTACAGTGACTGATGTTAACAGCCTACAAGTGACAGCGTAAAACGTTATTTACTTGTATTTTCAGATTATGTACGGATTAAGTTGTTTAGGGCATTAACCATGGTTATTTGCGTTTAAATAATAATGTAATTATTGCTTCAATTACTTAAGGTCAAATATTGTGATTTACATTACAAATATTGTTTGAGATTATCCCATATTAAATATTTCGTTAACCACGTATATTTGTTTCTTGAAGTGTGTGCATGTTTTATCTCAAAATTCTACCCTGGCATTACTGTGTATGATCATATATCAACATCAATATCAATATATCTAATGACTATTTATATTGTGTATTTTGGGGTAAAGAACCCAAACACAATGTTGGTAATGGTAGTATATTTTGGCCGTTGTATTTCTGTATTACGTTTGGCGATTCTACCGAACAATAGTACCTCACCGTGTAATTTACCTTGTGACAATTATTGTAATTTCAAAACTGTAATGAATAATGCATTTCATCTTTATATCACATGGACATTACAAATCGTGGTCACCAAAACGGCTGTTTATAACGCCTCGGCCAAAACGAATTGTTAGCTATGAAGGGAAAAACACGAGTCGCACAACGAATGGTCGTCTGGTTCTGATGATTGGTCATTCGTGTGCTTTGAAATTAAAGACGTATCCGTGCGCGTACAACCAAATTCTATTTCACTGGTTATCGTCTAAAATAACGAAACAGGCAACGTACGTTCAGGTATGTATCAACCATTATTACTATCAACAATCCGAGTCGTAGATAGAGCTTTCCAAAAACACGCGCACATAAAAAAAGCTTTAAATTTTATCAGTCATCCACATCTAGAAAAAGTATATTTTCTAATTGTTTAAAAAAAAATTGTTTGTTAAATTCGAATACTGGCAATTGAATAATAAAATAAAGACGAGAAATGATTATCGGAATATTTAGTTCATTGTGTTTATTTGCAAGGTTACTATCTGTCATGTGTTATAGCTTATTGGGATCTTGAGGTTTTACATCATATTGACTAATCCATCAACAGGTTTTACTGACGTGCATAGCATTCAGAGACACAATATATGCAAGGCTCCAAATGTTGCAATATATATATCATCTCTAATTGACATTACTGTAACACTTTCGCTAAAAACTGAGACTCAAAGTCCAGAGAATTTACCAGATTAGAGACAAATGTAGATTCGATCTTCAGGTTGTGATCAGAAGACATCTAAAGTCGAAATTTATGTGGACCATGGGTATTCAGAACAGCCGACTTATTTTAAACGTTAGTCTATAATTTTAAATTTTATTAGAAATAATTGTTTGATGTAACTGTTTTTGTTCATATATATATATGAAATGGTACATAATTCACACATGTAATGATTTTGAAACATTGTGAATGACGAACTCTGGCACGTGATCACATACACCAGCAAAATATTTGTGGATTATTTATCTTCCACAGATGAGCTAAAGTGTACAATAATATCAAGCAGTATACATATGATTTAAGAGTGCATTACACACCGCACATGTGAATTTAGTAGACTGCAAGTGTAATGAGAAAAAATAGTTGATTATGAAGCCATATATCTCATTATTAAATAAGTAACCACACCTCAATGTTAATCCAGTATTTATTGTTGCTAAATCCACAATGACATGTAACGTATATATCAGACACATTTGTCATTTTGTTGTTCAATAATAAAAATACAGAATGTCTAATGGGGATATACTACTAGTACTAGTAATATATTACTTTTATAATTTATGATAAACGGAATATTGTTTACGCTTCTATAGGAACTGTTGGCCTACTCGGCAATGCATTCGTCTGATTCGTTTTCTACCGTGTACGCTACCTGTCGTGGTGATTGCATGGTTATACGGTTAATGTTGGTCCTGCCATTTTATCACACCGCAAACACATGTTCTATGAAGTACACAAGTTAAATTTCAATGAAAAAACAGTTTTGAAGTATGTACCTAATTGCTCTAAGCTGTTAAAACAGCGTGCAAAGTTGTGCAAAGCGATTGCAAAGTTGGTAGATTTGCGTGTTTATTTGACTTAAGTTGTTATATCCAATCCTGCAATTATAAAGTATGAAACATTAATAAAATCCATTCGAAGCCTCCTATGTTAGCAGACAGTTATACGAGCCGGCCGTAAAATAAAAAAAAAAACTGCCTAAAAAATGTGAAAAGCGATTGAAAAGTTGGTGAATTTGCGTGTATATTTTACCAGAGTCATTTCGCATATTGTTACCATAGAATATGCATAAAACGGCCATTATTACCATAGAATGTCCATGAAACAGCCATTATCACCATAGAATATGCATAAAACAGCCATTATCACCATAGAATATGCATAAAACAGCCATTATTACCATAGAATATCCATGAAACGGCCATTATTACCATAGAATATGCACAAAACAGCCATTATTACCATAGAATATGCACAAAACAGCCATTATTACCATAGAATATTCATGAAACGGCCATTATTACCATAGAATATGCACAAAACAGCCATTATTACCATAGAATATGCACAAAACAGCCATTATTACCATAGAATATGCACAAAACAGCCATTATTACCATAGAATATCCATGAAACGGCCATTATTACCATAGAATATGCATACAACAGCCATTATCACCATAGAATATCCATAA